TTTAAAAAAGTCTTCGACTTAAAAAAGTGTTGGACTATCTATCACCACATCCAGGAAAAAGTATAGATACGCCTTCTATAAATGATAAACACAGAAGGGAAAACATGTAAATAAGTCTAAATCTATTTGCATAGCTCTTTTAACACATTTGAAATGTATGTATTTGACATAAAAATCTATAAGCACATATATCATATAATGTAGCAACTGAAATATCCTCTCAACAAAAATTCTGCATCATCTCACAGTAGCAGCAGCTTTCCGTGATCAACAAGATCCCCTGTAATCTTTCAAAAATGTCAGTGGATAACAGAAAAAAAGTTCTAAGTACAAAGCACCGTTATATTGGAGTTGTATATTTCTACTATATTGCTAGAGTCAGTGTAGAAAGGGAAAACTCTAATGCATTAGTAACATTATCTTGAACCACGATGAAAAGGAATGACAGGGAAAAACCATGTTCCTAGGAACTGTCACAAAAAAGGGGAAAAGTAATGCCTCTGGATTTTTAAAGCTACAATGATTATTACTGCACAATGTTTAGGATAAATTCCTGAATGTGGTTTTGGAGAGAAGCAGAAGTGGGAAGGGGAAGAACATTTGGCAGCATATTAAGTGAAAGGACTCCTCTGTATTCTCTGGTCAGTAATAGTAAGCAATTTTCACCATAGCCTCATGTTGGGCAAGACAAAAGAGAAATATATTCTCATCTTTAGATTCCCTTTAAAGCTCACTGTCTTATCAGTTTACAGATGAAGTATAACATAAAAATAAAATAAGGAGAAAAAAAAAAAATTCCAAAAATCTTCAAAAGTCAATTGCCCATGGCTATGCTTCTATGGAGCAAGGAATAGGTCAGGACGTGAAATGTGATCATTATACCAAAAGAATCAAACTCAGAACATTTCTTAGAATTGAAAAGATTTGGGTTTTATGAAATAAAATATGAAAACCTGTTGGCAGCCATTTATTTTCAAGTCAAAGCAAACACTATGGTAGATTCCTTGTTTCAGGTTTTTTATGTGTTCCTAATGATCAGACAAGAAGATTTTGTGGATCCTTTGTACAGACTGAATGGTTTGGTTCTGCTTTTCAACTGAATATCAACCAGATTATACCAGTCCTATGCTCATGTGCTTTGGGAATGGTTTCTTGTCCCCTGTCTTCTTTACCTAGATGCAAATGTATTTCACAAGAATCTACAGAGATGAAAAGCAGCTGGAATTATTATTCCACTCCCATGTCAGTGCTTAAGGTGGACAATGACAAGTTAAAATGGACAAAGTTGTTATAAACATTTAGTAGCCCCAGGGGTCACTGAAGTCTTTCCTGTAAAACTGAAGCGATATACTTCTGGGATTTAAAAGACTATGATGTTATTTACAAAGGCCCCTCCATTTTACACTCCCCCACCCCCCCATTTCTATTAGGACAGCTCTTAGAAAAAGCCCCATCAAACGCAAGGAAGTACAGTATCAATTCTGTCAGCGCTACCTACCTAACTCATGGCTAAATTCACACAGTGAAGTATCGTGGTCACTACTGCCACAATTTCACACCATAGAAAACATAGAGAATGGAGTTCTGGTGCAAGAAAATTAGGAAAAATATGTAGGTATCTATTAGATTCTTATGTCCATGTAAAGTAAAAGAAACAATAGACCTTATCTTAAAACTCAGCTGGAGCTTTATAGTAGACTCAACAGGTTGGCTAATACGGAAAATCCATGAATTATCATCTGAACACTTCATAGAACATTTTTTGTTACTTCCAGAGAATATCACCATCTCAGTGACACCTACAGAAACTGTTGTTCCTTGAAATGCCCAAAGACAAATAAAACCACGGGTAGACAGAATACATTATTTCCAAAGTAGTACACTAAAATCTGAGGTCAGTACGCCCAGAGAAGTTCAGGACAGCTGAACAGTTCCATAAACAGGATAAAAATTGCTGCGGAATGAAAGTAGCCTAAAATGTATGACACAAAAAAAAGGCAATATATTGATATCCAGAGAGATCAGTGATCTCATACACAGCTGAAAAGCGATGTTCAATTTTCTGCTTTGCCACTCCACCGGAGTGAAGGTACATTTTATATGCGGCCTGTTTTTTTCTTTCCTCATCGTCTGCTACTGGATTAATGTGAGAAACAAAACTCTGACTAGACAGATCACTGTTCTGCCTCAACATGATAACTTCCCCACGACACAAAGCATCTGTTCGTGGCTACCTCCTTGCGACCTTCAAGGAATGACATCTCCTCTAGCAACTCCTGGCATCAGCATAGTCTTGGCCCTGGATATGCTTATTCTGGATCAGCTAATATTTTTTTAGTTTAAAAAATAGTTCAAATGTGCCTATCAGTGGATGTACAAAAAAACATGAGATGAATTCTGTGATTTGAGACCAAAGGCTCAAAAGTAGTAAAAGCAATCTCAACAGTATAAACATTTTCAGTGTACTGAGATTTTTAAATGTATTTGTTTGTTATTACAGGTCAGATAAGAAATTATTCCTTCTATTTGATTTTTGGTTTTTTGTCCAATTTTGAGGGGTCATACCACATATTTACCCAAGAGGAAACGTACGTACTTAGCCCAGGATTATACTCTGCTGTTTAGTACATGTTTTAAAGCATGAATAGAAGTAAATCTTTCTCAGGATGTCCTCAATATGTTCTGAGAGACAGAAGTGCTGAACAAATAAAAGTGTCGTCATTCCAGTTCTACCTTTAACCAGCTGTGTGAGTTTGAATTCAGTATTTCATTTCTCTGTTCCCTATCTCCCTCCCTCTTCTCCTATTCAGAGTGTTGGTTTTACCGAGTAGAAGCTGTCTCTTAGTCAAGGAGACCTTCATCCTGATTAGGTCCTCTAAGTATTCCTACAGTATGTACTTACAATGCATGACAAGCTTTCCTTCTCTTTATGATTATCTATTATTCATATTGTGGTAGTGTCTAGAGACCAATAAGTTAAGAATATGACAAGATACAATATATGGATAAATACAGATGGCAGGTGGATAGTTAATAATAAAGATGGGTGTATGTACATAACTTAATTGTGTTAGTAACTACTAATGCTCCTCTTTTCCAATTAGATCTAATGATTATTTTTTTCCTGAGTGCAACAAATGAATTTGTAACAATTCCATAGTAGTTTTGCCTTCTTTAGAGTTGACACATCTCATTTTTATTCCGTAATATTTTTAATAGTTATAAAATTACTAATGGCATGAAGAGTTTATACATCTTTTTTTTTTTCATCATTAAAATACCACAACTTATCAGGAGTTAATATACAGTACATGTGGAATACTATAGAAATAATAAATTAAAAGAAATACTACCATTAGCTGCTCTACTTAGCAATGCAGTAATTCTATACAAGTTAAACTTGAGTTTGAAATATTTGAAAATTTCAAAGATAACAAAAAATTGTTTTGGCTGAGGGAGTCGGAAAAACCTTTTTTTTTTTTTTCTCCAAAGCAATCTTTGTAAATGTTAATATTTTTAGTGCCTCCCACTTATTAGGCCCAGATTCTGCCATCTTCTCCTAGTTATAACTAAATATTACACATGGATAGTCCCTATAAATGCAAAGGCTTTTTAGTATAAGTAAAACTAACTAACAAACCAGCCTTAAATGAATAAACATTCAGTTCTGCTAATTTCTACTTCGATGTGACATACATTTTTACTACATGCATTCATATTAATGATTATAGTAGTGCCCAAAAGATGCTCCACAACAAGAAAAAAACCCAGCCTTTTGACAACCATTCTTGACATCATAGAGTCACAGAATGGTTGAGGTTGTCAGGAAGGAGGTCATGTGGTCCATACCCCTTTCAAGCAGGGCTATCTAGAGCAGGTTGCCCAGGACTATGTCTATACAGTTTTGAGTATCTCCAAGGATGGAGACTCCACAATCTTTCTGGGCAACCTATGCCAATGCTCTCCTGTACTCAGGCGCCCAGAACTGGACATGGTAATCCAGGTGTGGTCTCCACAGTACTGAGTAGAGGGGAAGGATCACCTCCCTCAACCTGCTGTCAACACTCCTCCTAATGCAGCCCAGGATACCATGAGCCTTCTTTGCTGCAAGGGTACATTGCTGGCTCATACTCAACTCGGTGTCCACCCGGTGTCCAGCAGGATGTGAATAGATGATACCCAATACAACAGGAATCCAGGCTGTTCAAATCATTAAATTACTTGGGTTTATACTCTGTAAATATCTTCCAAATCTATACCCAACTTAGAAGGGGGAAAAACATTTGAAATGTTTTAATGACACATAATTTTTGCCACAGCCATTTTGAATTAACTGATTTAGAAACAGAAATTCAATTCAGTAAACCAGAATTCATTCCAGATCTCTCTTCCAGCTCAGACTGTCCCATTGTACTCCAGCCATATAGTCATGCAATGGTCAGCATCTAGAAATGATGACTTTCAGTGTAATGCAGATACATGTGAATATTTATCGTGACTTAAGGTTACAATGCAGGTAAACCCAATGGTGTTAGCAGAGTGTATGATCCCAGAGCACAACTCCAGTATATTAAATTCAGTGGGCACTTGATCTTTCTAGGGAAGGTCAAATAAGAGTTTAAAAGTGGAAAACAGTACTAAAATAACAAAACTCTAAAAAACACACTCCAGACTGGAGTCTTTACATTATTTTAGTATTTTGAAAGATTGCTTTCTATCTTGTGAGATTTTCAGTTTCTGTGATTATAATTGCACAGCCATTAATAGTTATAGAGCATGAAGCCACAAAACTGTTGCTGAAAGAGATTTTGTACAAAGCATTTCAGGAAGAAATAACTGTAGTATAACCATGACACAATTTAATTTTCAGCACAAAATTAAGGTTTAATCTAAAATTTACAAACCTTGCTTCTATCTAAGTGCTATTTAGGAGCATCTTCTCATTGTACGGTGATCTTGAATAGACAGAGAGGTTGAAGAAAAGAATAGTCTCTACTCACCTATAGTTGGATCATGATAGTCAGGGAACCGATGACTTATGAACTGCATTGTCATTGCTGGAAACGAGAAAGACAGAGGGAAGAAGAAAGAATTATATTACTGTCTTCAAATGACAACAGGGAAAAGAACAAGCAGAGAATTCACTCATCCAAGTATCAGCTTAGAAAGTGAGTCCGAAGTCAGTCTTACGTCTAAAGCTGCAAGAATGCATTGGCATCACAATGATAACTAAGAACTGATAAATGGAAAAAAAACCCTAATTAAACTTCTTTATTTGTCTTAATTTCTTCCTTTGTAAACTGCATTTTATCAATTGCTGTATTAAAATGTTACATTTTTTTAACACTTGGTAAATACTGTTAACCTGATATTGTCTACAGATGAAAATTGTCATGAAGAAAACATAAAATGTAATTTATAAGGCTGATTCGTAAAAGTTTTCATGATGTTACAAAATGCCACTAACTGCAGTACCTGATCGGATTTGTGGTGCATTTTAGGAATACCTAACTCATTAAACTTGATGCAGCAGACAAATACTTCTGTTAACCACCTAGAGCTTGATTTCTCCTGAACATTGTTTTATGGCTGAATACTACCTGCTTTGAGAAATTTTAGGAAAGTTACACAAGTCTTCAGCAAAATTGCTTTGCATCATTTGGAACAGGTGGCGCTCTGGAGGTGAAATTCCAATTTATGTAGAAAGCCAGAAGCATTCATATCCTGTCCAACCATGAGTTTCCAACATGTCGTCTAAAGTTCATGGACTTTGAATAATCACAAAAGTAGGCTTGCGTATTCAATGGTCACAGTCATACCATCAGTTATCAGAACAATATGGGAAGTTATGTTATCTTTGATGTCTTTCTTTGGGAGTTTGAATCTCAGCTCATTTGAAAAGTAAAGGAATCTACCTAACACTGAGAGCTGTGAAAAAAAAAAAAACAAAAAACCTTCAAAAGTGAAATAGGTGAATTCCAATTGAACAGAAGGGGGGAAAAAATAGGACCCAACAGATTTTTTTAAAATATTGCTTGATTTTTAAGTCAATTTCATTATTTTAATTTTCCATGGGTTTTTTAATGCATTAAAATTCCACTATAGTTCCTATGTGGCCATTTGTTTAAAAAAAAGTACCCTACCTGAATGATAACTATCAGTCACAACAAGTTAAACCAAACATGAGATTCTGCCTTATGTCTTGAACATCTCAGGTACCTTCAATAGCAGAGGTTATGAACAAGAAATGTGACATTTTAAAAATTCTGCATATAAATACATCCATTTTTAAAACAGCATTGTTTTAGTTTAATGTTTGTCTTCCTTATATTTTCAAGAATCAGAGGGTTAAGGAGATAGTTTTACAAAATGATACAGACAAAGAGTATTAAACATTTATTACCATGTTAATAAATTATTGCATCTTTAGCGTAGACAAATATAAATGTTAAGAAGCAGCATTATAAATTCATAGTAACTCAGAGAGGGTAACTGTAAAAAAAGCTCATTCAGTCTATACATATTATAGGGGAATAAATCTACGTGCAGTGACACTCATGTCTTCTATATTATCTGTTGTCAGATGCATTAGTTTTAAGTACTGTGTATGTTTGGACACTTTCATTTCCAGGACACCTGTTTTTTTAATCACAACAGATTTTTAGGCACCTCCATCTGATAACTGTTAGTGGTTTATAAAGAATAAATTGATGCCTAATGTGATCTGCCTAGTTTGCTCTGAGAAGAAGAGGCAGCTAGCAGAGATGCTGTTCATATGGTTTATGCCTACACATTTTGAGCTTTCTGAGGGCCCATACCACAAATGAATTCAATTTGTTTCACTACCTGCTGGTTTTTCTTGCCAAGCTTTTTTTTAAAAGCAAACTACTCTGCATCTGATCTAATTCTGTTTCCTTTTGGAGCTATGCCTGCGTCACAAAATCTGTTGTTACAACCGAAACAGAAATTCTCAGAGGATACCCAGAACTAATGGTAAACATTTTCCTCTCTCCTGAGACAGCCCCAAATCAATACATATCCTCATTACGTTCACAGGATCTAAGAGGAAATAATTTGAAAGCATCATAGTGACTTTCAATTGTAACGTGCAAAATGTTAGCCACTGGGACGTGTAAAATTTATATCTCCCAGACCACTCTGTGTGTGTGAATATCCATCATCAAAATTTTCACAGGAACCTAGGCTGCACACAGTGCTTTAGAGGCAGATCTGAAGAGGAATTTATGTCTTGTAATGTCAAGTGCAACAATACTGACCTGTATACGCCTGACCCTAGTCTCAGTCCAGAACTCTACATGAGCTGACTTGGCTATATCTAAAATGAATCTGGAGAGGTACAGAATTTGAGAAAGGTGTTCACAGAAGCACTCTGTATGAAGAAATAAAAACATCGTACAGTGAGCTGGCTAGGGAAATGGTGAATAAAAGCATCCTTTTACACGCTTTTTGTCCCACAACTGCTTCCATGGCAGCCCTTTGTCAAGGGCTCCTCCCAATCACCAGGGTAAGGAACTTCTTTGGCTTCTTTAGTGCTTGTCACCTCTTGCATGGGGGATTAGCACCCTCTCCCAGAAATAGGTTACATGGTTTTGTTTTCTCAGATGGAAGGGATTGAGGTACAGTGTCTGATCTTTTTAATCACTGCATTACAATGTCATATAAGGAAACTGGGGTATAAGAGGTGGGAATTGCAACCCATCTTCCTCTGTGTGTTCTTTAAAATAAGAATTAGCATCTTCTGTTAAACCCTACTGAATATTAGTGCAGCAAGCATTTTCAGAGCAGTCATAACAGGCCACTTTCCCTAAGGGAAAGGAACAACTAGCTTTTGGCTTTAAACAACAAACCCCTTACTCCACGAGGATGGAGGACAAGGAATTCTCAGAACATCAGGTCTGATGTACAAAACCAGTTGTGTCCAGATTTACCAGACATTCCACAGGCTTGGCTGCTGGACATGCAGAAGTTAGTCCTGAATGATGGTCAGAAGACGGTGGAATGCTTCCCAGAGCAAAAGAAGGCTCAATCACCGCTGACGCGTAACCACACAACTCAGCTGGAGCCTTGGGAATTGGATCTGCTTTTATATATATATTATACCCAGCTCTATCTGGGCTCCCCAGCAGGACAGCTGCCTCAGCTGGAATACACTGGCTTCTTCAGTGATACTAACATCAGCTCCAAAGTAATTTTCCGGAGCGAATTAATTTTGAAAACTAATACCAAAATGGTCTGGGTATTCCATGCTGCTTTATGAAAATATTCTCCTTGGTCCCTCCTTTTTTTCCTTATCCATTATCCATATTTCCATATAAATTAACATTCACACCTAACAAATCCAAACCATCATCAGATATTGTTGTGACCATTTTCCTTTGGAAATCCAAATAATACTGCTCCACATTTTTACAGATCTATAAATTAGGCACCTTTAACTCTAATTTATACCACACATAAAGCACTGTATCAAAATGTGGTTTTAAAGCAGGATATTAAAACAGAGTAAATAGATAAGACTGATATTTGAATAAATACATATACATGTAAAAGCATAGTCAGTTAAAAATGGTAAAAAAAAAATCAAACAAAACACCTTTTAACCCATAGCAGATATTGTGAAACATTTTGAATTGCAAGTTGCCTGAAAATTTTTAATGAATATTTTACAACACTGTGAAGATCATTCCATTTAAATGGGATATGTACAGCACATGGTAACTACTATAAGTAAAAGGATCATTGTTTCAGATTAATAGTGTCTTCCTTCTATCCATCTGTGGCTAAGCAAGTGCAGATTGCCTCAGATGAATAAATGTAAACCTGATATGCATGAGTAACTATATAGCTTTAAAGTTCTCTTGTGTTTTCAAAATAAAAAAGGGGTTCAGATCCTGCACTTCATTTTTGGTTGTTTCCAATTATGCTTATCCAATGTTCATTAACTATCTAGAATGGTATACATGATATCTATGCTGGCACTGAAATATATATGTTTTCTATGAGTAATAAACTTAGTCCTGTCCGCTACTTTCAATATAATTCCTACTCTCTTCCTAACAATAATTTATTTACCTCCCAGTAGGAAATGTCATGCTTAGAAAAAGGCTGAGATTATATTATTTACTCTAAAGCATCCTTTTGATCAGTGTAGCAATATTAAATTTCATGTAAAGGAAGATATCAACTTCTAAAAATATATGTTTGCGTGGGCCCACAGGCTAATAGAAAAAATGCTTCAATACCCGTGCAGTTGTGCGAGCAGGTAGAGTAGAATCCTGCTGTCCTTCTAATTTGTTCTAACTTTGATTTGTAGTGACAACTTTGAAAGTAGTCCAACACCTATTTTTCAAAGCTGGAGAGTACGTTGCTATTTTACACAATATTCTTTATGGTAATAGTATCCCTGATATGAATATCTCATCCTGAGCTTCCTATCCCTTTTTATTCACCCAAGAACTTCCACATATTCATACTCTCCTGGGTGCTGTGTATGACTGTATGTTAATCCATTTTCAAAAGCATCTTTACCCTCATCACAAAATTCTACACTTTAAATAATCTAACAAATGACCACAGTAGTTGTAACTCAGAGATCTGTGATTCCATATGGTTGATTCACTTTAGTTAGATCTACTATTCAAGTGGACCTTTAACTTGTGTATTTATAAACATTGAGATTTCAAAGATACCAGCATAGAAAACAGGCCTAAAAATAATCTAATATGATAAAGTCAGTAGACTTATAGATTACTTTGTGAAATTCATGAAAAAAGAAGAAAACATATAGGTATTATTAGCATAGAGAAGGTAGCAAAGAAGCTAAAGTCTAAAAACGGAACAGTAGATCATATTAACAAAGTATGCACCATAGGAAGAGACATTGTCACAGAACAGAAAAAGTGATAAATATGCTAAAAGTTCAAGAGACATCCTTGCCTCTATCAATCTGTAAAATTAAATAACTTTCTAAAAACATGGCCAAGGCATGTTGAACATACCTGATTTTATTCTTTTGATAAGGTGTTTGTATATAACT